ACTCCTCTCCTGCGCGAGCTGCATTGGCTTCCGGTGGACTTCCGGGTGCACTTCAAGGTGTTGGTGATCACCTTTAAAGCGCTCCATGGCTTAGGGCCAGGGTACTTACGGGACCGCCTTCTGCCACCAATAGCCTCCCACCGGCCAGTTCGCTCCCACAGAGAGGGCCTCCTCAGGGTGCCGTCTGCTAGACAATGCCGGCTGGCGACCCCCAGGAGGAGAGCCTTCTCTGTGATGGCACCCACCCTTTGGAACAATCTACCCCCAGAGATACGAGTGATCTCCGACCTCCGGACTTTTCATCGGGCCCTAAAAACTCATCTCTTTCAGTTAGCCGGTCTCTCTTGATTTTATGATTTTATGGTTGGTTTTAAATTTTGATATGGATTTTAAATTGATAAATTTTAAACTATGGGCCAAATTTAATTATTTTAAATCTATTTTTAATCGTACTTTATGTATAAATGTTTTTATTTTGGCTGTTCACCGCCCTGAGTCCGAAAGGAGAAGGGCGGTATAGAAATTCGAATAATAAATAAAATAAATCAGGTGTCAGGAAATTAGTTGATAGTACAGATAGTCTGTACATGTAGTAACTGTTCAAAGTTACAAAGGCACTGAAAAAAAGTGTTTTTTATACTTACAACTATTACAGCAGTCTCGTGCTCACATGATCAAAATTCAAACGCTTGACAACCAGAATGTATTTATAACCGTTGCAGTATCCTGGAGTCATGTGATCACCTTTTGACAAGACAAGTCAATGGGGAAGCCAGATTCTTTTAACAACCGTGTTACTAACTTAACTCCTGCAATGATTCACTTAGCAACTGTTACAAGAGAGGTTGTAAAATGGGGAAAAATTGACTTAACAATTTTTGTTAAGTTTTACCTAACAACAGAAATTTTGGGCTCAATTGTGATCATAATTCGAGGACTACCTGTAATGATTTCCAGACTCTCTGCTCAACTACACATATTTTTCCCCTCTTTTCTCCCCCTGCTTCACCCTGCCTGAAGTTCATACAGTGAATCTGATGCTTCAGTCCCATGAGGGGCTATGGAACAAAAGGGCAAATGAAAAAGAAATGTTTATACATATTCAGTCCTTCAAATAATGTTTCCCCATGAATAAGTCCATATCTGAATAGAACAGCATTCTACTTTTGTTACTGTAATCCCTTAATCAAATGAATGGGAACTAGATAAAAGTCAAATCTTGTTAGCTGATTACAGAGAGATGTGTCCTATCAGCATACTGTATAAATATATCAGAAAGACAAAAGCCCTTAGCTCTGCAAACCTCTAAAGTTAGTTGATCCAAAAGTTAGCCTGGATGCATACTGTTACAAAACACAGATACAGCATATTTGCTACTCAGGGTATTTTTCTGACTTTGTCCCATTCCTCATAGTAAAAGCCTGTTTTCCCCAAAGGGACATTTAAGGTCACTTTAGGGGGTAGAATTTTACTTAGAGCCCCCTGGCTAATGAGGTCTGGGAGCCGGGGATTAGTCTAACATGCAAATTTTGGAGTAGCCAATGGGAAGTTACTTATTAAGCTGATCCTTCACAGTGTGTTGTTAATTACTAAAGGCAAATAGGGCAAGAAAGGTTAATCGTCCTACAGTTGCGGAGAGGTTTGTCTCCTGCTTTCTTCTCCTCAACAGGATCATCCAATCTTCTTATATCAATATGCAGGCTTCTGCAGAGGGCTGGTTCAAATCACAGCCTCTAAGGAAGCAAACGGAATCAGCTTTTTTTTTTTTTTAATGTGGCCAGAAGCGTGATGGTAAGATTCAGCACCAGCAACTTTTATTAAGCATGGTGCTAATCAATTAAACTTCCAGATTAACTAATGAATCCAACCCACAGCAATTTGCTCAGTGTGAAAATTGAGCATTTTACTGCAGGTTGGACCAGGGGTGAAATCTTCCTTATCAGTTCAGAAGTGCGCGCCGTACGCACACGGTCTCTTTGCTCATGTGTGCACATGCATCACATGTGCATGCACACCTTCTGCACATGTGCAAAAACTTCTGCGCATGCGCAGAAGATAAAAAAACATTACTTCCTGGTTAAAACCAGGAAGTAATGACACCCAGGCGGCGATCGCTACCAGATTGCCGAACCACAGGGAAAAATCGCTACTGGATCGGGCGATCCGGTCCGATCCGGGAGCATTTCACCCCTGGATTGGACTAAGTTGAATGTTTTTGCTATCCGGCTCAGATAAAATAACTCTAATAAACAATAATAATAATTTATTAAATGTATACACTGCCTAAGTCCCAATGATTCTGGGCAGTCCGCAACTTTACTCAGCCCACCTGAGAATTTCATGCCTTTTCTATGGATCAAATTATATATTGGATGTCCTAAAATGCTTTGCCATGATTTATTTTCAGAACCTGATATATTAACCACTAACCATTTGGTTAATTATTTTATTTTTTATTATTTCTATTTCTATACCGCCCTTCTCCCGAAGGACTCAGGGCGGTGTACAGCCTATTTAAAAACACAAAAACAAAAACAACAGTTAAAATTTAAAATCATTAAATAATTAGGCTCCAATTAAAATCCCAGGAATTTAAAAATACCCCAATTTAAAACGTTATGTTAATAGCCCGGCCTGGCGGAACAACAGGGTCTTCAGAGCGCAGCGAAACACCCGGAGGTCGGAGATCTTACGTATTTCCGGGGGCAGTTCATTCCACAGGGCTGGGGCTCCCACAGAGAAGGCCCTCCCCCTGGGTGTCGCCAGCCGACATAACTTGGCCGATGGCACCCTGAGGAGACCCTCTCTGTGGGAGCGGACTGGTCGGTGGGAGGCTATTGGTGGCAGAAGTCGGTCTCGAAGGTACCCGGGTCCTATGCCATGGAGCGCTTTAAAGGTGGTAACCAACACCTTGAATCGCACCCGGAAGACCACTGGGAGCCAGTGCAGCTTGCGCAGGAGGGGTGTCACATGGGCGCAACGAGTTGCACCCATAACCACCCGCGCGGCCGCATTTTGGACCAGTTGGAGCCTCCGAATGCTCTTCAAGGGGAGCCCCATGTAGAGAGCATTACAGTAGTCCAACTGGGAGGTGACAAGGGCATGAGTGACTGTGCGCAAGGCGTCCCGATCCAGAAAGGGCCGCAACTGGCGAATCAGGCGAACCTGATAAAAGGCCCCCCTGGCCACGGCCGTCATGTGCTCTTCTAAAGACAGCCGTGCGTCCAGGAGGACACCCAGATTGCGAGCCCTCTCTGTGGGGGGCAAAGATTCACCCCCAATAGTCAGCGATGGCACCTGCTGACTATATCGGGGCGCCGGAAGCCACAGCCACTCGGTCTTGGAGGGGTTGAGTCTGAGCCTGTTCTCCCCATCCAGGCCCGCACGGCCTCCAGGCAGCGGGACATCACATCAAGGGCATCGTTGGGGTGGTCTGGAGTGGAGATGTACAGCTGCGTATCGTCAGCGTACAGATGACACTTCACCCCAAAACCACGGATGATCTCACCCAGCGGCTTCACATAAATGTTGAACAGGAGAGGTGAGAGGACCGACCCTTGCGGCACTCCCCATGCGAGATGCCTCGAGGTCGACCTCTGTCCTCCTGCCAACACAAACTGCGAGCGGTCGGAGAGGAAGGAGGAGAACCACCGCAAAACGGTGCCCCCTATTCCTAACCCCCCCAACCGCTGCAGCATGATACCATGGTCGATGGTATCAAAAGCCGCTGAGAGGTCTAATAGGACTAGGACAGAGGAGCAACCCTTGTCCCGAGCCCTCCAGAGATCATCCACCAACGCGACCAATGCCGTTTCTGTGCTGTACCCCTGCCTGAAGCCCGACTGGTACGGGTCCAGATAGATAGCTTCATCCAGGTGCCGGGGAAGTTGTCGTGCCACCACGCTCTCAACAACCTTCGCCACAAAACGAAGGTTGGAGACTGGACGATAGTTGGCTAATTCAGCCGGATCCAGGGAAGGCTTCTTGAGGAGGGGACTCACTACCGCCTCTTTCAAGGCTGCAGGAAAGGCACCCTCACTCAAAGAAGCACTTATGATCCCCTGGAGCCAGCCTCGTGTAACCTCCCGGGAGGCCAGCACCAACCAGGAGGGACACGGGTCCAATAAACACGTGGCGGCACTAGTCTTACCCAGGACCCTGTCCACATCCTCGGGAGTCATTTGAAGTTACAACAGCATTGAAAAAAAATGACTTCTAACCATTTTTCAGACTTATGAATGTTGCAGCAACCCTATAGTCACGTGATCAAAATTCAGATGCTTGGCAATTGATTCATATTTATGGCAGTTGTGTCCTGAGGTCATGTGATCACCTTTTGCAACCTTCTGACAAGCAAAATCAGTGGGGAAGACAGAGGCACTTAGCAATTTTGTTACTAACTTAACAATTGCAGTGATTCGCGTAACTGTGGCAAGAAAGGTCGCAAAATGGAGCAAACTTACTTAAAACTATCTCACTTAGCAACAGAACTTTTGGCTTCAATTGTAGTCATAAATCGAGGATTACCTGTACTCAGCTTGAATCTAAAGTATTACACACTTAACTTTCCAATCTTTTTACTTGCAGATTATACAGATGACAATTTGGCTCAAAATGCCTTAGTCAAATGGGGAGATAAGAGATGGCCTCAAACTGTCCTGATTGCGATGATAAACCCAGTTCACAAATTAGTTCAGAAGAGATCCAAAAGATCACAAGGTGGGAATGGGATGCTAAACATGAAAGCTCTTTTGCTGAAAATCTTTGAGGAGCCTGGAGAGAGAGTTCAAAACATTACAGATCATATGGACACTCACAAAAATAAGTATATTCCTCAATCTTCTTGTGATCTGTGATGTTTTGAACATAGACTGAAATATGAATGAAGATTGACATTAAACATCCAAGTGCACAGCGAGATGAAGGAAATGCGCCTTGGCATAACAGAGAAAACAGAAATCAAGAATATCCTATACATATATCCAGCTGCACATACTTACCCGTCTTTGCAGAAGTAGAAGGCTTCCCAAAGCAAAGGTGGAATCAAAAGTGGTGGAGATGATAAAAGCTTTTCCCGTCCTCCTTCTCTAGTCCTTAAGGAAAGGATCTTGGATTTATCTGCAACTAGCAGAAGGAAGGGCGAGGATAATCCAAGTTATCTGAGGGCTCCATGGTGCTCTCTCAGCTTGTTTTCTTGCAGACGTTTCATTACATAGAATAGAATAGAATAGAATAGAATAGAATAGAATAGAATAGAATTCTTTATTGGCCAAGTGTGATTGGACACACAAGGAATTTGTCCTGGTGCATACTCTCTCAGTGTACATAAAAGAAAAGATACATTCATCAAGAATCATAAGGTTCAACACTTAATGATAGTCAGAGGGAACAAATAAGCAATCAAATCATCACTAGGTAACATCATCAATGCTAGTCATTGGTACTTCTCTCCCTCCCTCTCTCTCTCTCTCTCTCTCTCTCTCTCTCTCTCTCTCTCTGGGAGGGGATCTGGGTTGTGAGGCTGGCTCTAAAGTTCGACTGGTGAACTATTTTCACAGTACAGGCCTTCAAAGTCTCTTTGGTGAGGGTCTTGAAAATTCATTTTCTACCCTAAATGAATTGCTCCTATTTATTCCAGTTGAAAGCATAGTTGGCTCAAGAGTAGCTAAACTTGTTCTTGGCCACCCTAATTGTGGAATATATTAATCTTGGTGCACAAAACCTAATCAGAGCTAATGAGGAATTAGCATCATTTCCCAGGCTGCAGCCGCTACATCTCTAATGAAACAATAGTCCTTAGAATTTTATTGAAATTATCTCCTGAGCTTTTGTGAATCGTGGCCCACTTCTTCGGGTACACAATCTGCAGAGCTGTGAAAGGAAGGGTGTACATACAAAACCAATGAACCTCCTTATTGCCAGTGCTTCCTTGACTCAAAAAAACCCCATTGACCTTCCTGGAGAAAGCCACCAAGTATAGTCAATACTTTAGCACCTTCCAAGCAATCAGCAGAAGAAGCTGCTGTACCTTCTGCAGTGTTTTCTGTGCAGAGGATCACCCCCACTGTGATCTTTGCCAACTGCTGTGTGTTGATCATTATAAATGCTGTACCATTCCAAGAACAGAGGAGACAGCACCACACATAGATTTACGGCATGCAGGATAGTGCCTTCTTGGGATTAATCTCCATGCATCTGATGAAGTGGACTGTGACCTGAAAAACCTGATGCAATAATAAACAGATTAGTTTTCAAAGTTATCCGAAGAGCTTTTGTTCTTTTGGCTGGCCTGGCTTACCTCTGGTTTAGATCTTTGATCAATTATTGGGCTCAGCAGCAGAGCGGTGGTTCAAATGCTTGCCCCCATCAAGACCAAGAGGAACAATTTGGAATCAGCCTGGCAGAATCTGATCCATGGTTCTGGGGTTGAGATTATGGCAACCTATTGGAAGCAATCCCTTGGCCCACCTGTATAAAACATCCCCTCCAAAAGACTCCAGCCTATTGATTTTCATTGACTAAAACAATTCAGAAAAGGCAACCTCTGAATGCAGTCAGGGTTGTATCCTTCAAAGGACAAAATGTGGCCGCTGCAAAACTTTAAAAGTTTGCTTCTGTTTAGAAATGGCAGCCCCAACTTGGCCTGAATACAAATGATTCTGTCTGCAAAGTGACTGGCAAACACATCACAGCATGCAAGAAATGATTTAGTCTCTTGGTGGAAACTCCTGTTGCTTTCATTGAAATATACAGTGCAACCCCCCCCCCATCCCATTCAGTTTAAAAGCTTCACTCTACGGTAGTCTCCTTTTCTTCTCACCCACTGTATATATGAAAAAGAAAACCTGCTCTGCATCTGTGCAAATAGATCCATGCCCCAGTTTCTTTGAACATTAATCATCCTTAACTAAAGAAGTTACATTTAATCATTTTAACCTTGGTGTTACCATTAGACAAGGGGCTCATGAGATATCTGCAAGAAACAATGCTACTTCGAAAACAGTTTGATGGGAAATTAGAGGTTATTACTTTTTACTACAGAATTAGTCCTATAACAAAGTGCTATTGCTGTATTTTAAGTACTCCTTATTAGTAATGTGACATTGGAATTTTGCTGAGAAAGCCAGCATTTTGTTCTTTTACTACGGAGTAAGAATATAAGACTTGAAGTAGGAATGGCCACCAGTTGGAATCTAAGCAATTTAGCCTCCTGATTAACTCCAGAAGACTGTAAGTTGTTATAGGCTTAGTCTACTCAATTCTCCTCCTCGTCCTCCCACTTCCCTCCCTCTCCTTCTTCCTCCTCCTCCTTACATTTCAGTCTTTAAGCCCACAGTCTGTTGTCTCTTAAATAACCATATTTAACCCACAAAAAAAGAGCAGAGCTATTTTGTGTGTCCAATCTCCTCTTCCTTTTAAAGTAGGGCTATGTTCTCTTGTGTCATTGATGCACTATTTTCCAAAATAATAGTTAGCATCTGCATACACAATAAAGATACGATTGGGAGAAAGAATATAATATTATCTTTGGTTTGGAGTGGAGAGTTACTTCTCTTCTCAGATCTTAACAGTACTTCTGTCCTAGATAACAACAGAAATAGAATTCAATATCCCTCCATGAAGAGATTGCTTTTTTAGAAAAGCAAACAAAACAAAACAAAAAAAAACAAACAAAGACATTCTCTAAGCCCTCAGCATTTAGAAGGCTCTGGAAGCTTATGACACAATTCTGTGGGTTTGTGAATATTATTTTCCTTTAAATTTATATATATATACACACACAAGCACACCTACTTATTTTTCCCATGCACATAAAGGGGAAGGGGGAATGTTAGAAATCCCTTCGTTATTTACAAATTGGTTTTTTCTGCCTGCCCAGTTTATATCTAAGCCAATAAATAGGCATCCTGGCTTAGTGGGTGTAAGGAAAAAATAAAAATGAAGCCAAGCACTGTGTTTTCTGATTTTGGTCCGTTTCAATGTGCTTTACACCTTCATTCAACAACGTTCTCCATTTAATTAAATGCTTAATTGCACTAGGGATACAGTTTGAAGGGGCAGTTTAAATTGCCTGATCTCTGGTCTGCAATATTAACATCTGACAGCCTTGTAGGGCTGCTGCAAAAGATGGCTTTCAGCCTAGTTCTCTTACCTCTGCTAGGATTATAACTGAACTACACGGCAGGGAGTGTGTATATTAGTTTCTCAGCAGGTCCTGTATGGTGAGGGTAATAGCAATAACTTTGCCTGCAATGGGGTGGAGGTCTAATATCTCTTAACAACAACACTTGCTTGTTGTAAATGAGAGACGTACAAAGTGATTTGAACCTAAAAGTCCATTTCAAGGAGAACTTCTACTTGGCCATTCTGAGCAGCTATATTTCAAGGGTTCTGATCATTGGGGGTGGGGGATTATCATGAAACAAGTTACTATAAGAGTTTGCGGTTCAAAATAAAACATAAATGGCTGGGGTGGGGTCTGTGAAGGCCATTCTGAAACCTTCATCTTATTTTCCTGTAATTATTTAATCATTTATTTGGAGGCATGTTTTATATCTTCATCTTGCTGAAATATTCAGTCTTTTCAGAACCTGCAGTCTTGAACATTGTTGAAAAATCTGTGGGAAGATCTCACACATGCAAGGAGAACTACAAATATTTCTGAGCTAGAAAAGGTCTGCTAGGAACAGTGGGGAAATTTCCCCCCCAAAAGCCGAATAGAAAGATTCCTAGCTGGTTACAAAAAACTGTTTGAATGCTGTTATTTCTGCCAGCTGCAATGTTACAAAGCAGTGCTTGGAGGGTGTCAAAATCTTTCCATATTCACGGTTTTCTTATTTTGAACATTTAAACAACTGCGCCTAAGTATTAAGTATGGTTTCAAGCGCAGAAAAATGTTGCATTTAACACTCTACTAACTTCTGTTCTATTAAGGATTCATTGATATATAACATATGACCATAGTTGACTGAATTTTGCATATTACTGTACATTAAATATATTACCTGATCTGCTGCTTCATTAGGCAACTCTTATTTTGTTCCCTTTCTAACTATTAGACATGAATACTTTTTTAAAGTGTACATTTTTCAGCAGCTATCTTTTATTAATATGGGAGATCCAGTGTTTATGTATTAACCATAATAGCCTTTAATACTGCATTATCATAACACCGTAAGAGATCATTTGGATGTTATAGCCACCTTGGTTATCTTGACCCTGTTTATTATTTAAAAGTAAAATCACAGTGCTTTGTATAGATTTCCCCAAGCTAAATATCATTCACCTTGTGAAGGTGTTTAGCTGTGATTATTAGATAATCAATTTGGGTAAAATGAATTATGTGCCAAGAGACTTTTTAGAATGCCAGCTGTCTATTCACCTTAGATTTTTAAAAGCCCTATTAAACATTTTATGTTCTTTCTAAATGATGAAGCATAATCTGTCATTCACAACCGGAATTTCTCTTCAGTTTGTATAATCTTTAAATCAGGAGGGCATGTAATAAATACTCTTAATTTTGTCTGCTTTGCAAAAGAGAGACAAGAATCCAAATTAGGTTTTCGGTATTATGACTAAGTATGTTTCTTACTGTTGGATCTTTTCAAGGGATTGTGTAAGCACCTACACGCTTATATATGTGTATGATATACTTGTGACTTTCAGATGTTGATGTGCTGTGATCTTGTGATTCTTAATTTGACTATGCTGATTGAGGATGATAGGAGTTGGGTGACCATAGCTTTTCTTTCATTGTACTAGACAGCTGTTCAATCAGAAATCCTTGTAGGTAAACCTATAGGAACTTTAAACCTATAATGAGGGAGCCAAGTATCTATAATATAACCCTGACAATGACTTAAAAGTCCACAATGGAGAAGAAAGTATATGGGATTTTGAGTGGCCAAATAGTTTCTCTGTCTGTAAAAAGTATATTTCCATTTAAAAGAAAGGAATTGGAAGTTTGTTCTACACATATATTGTAAGATTCTACACTGACCCAGAATCTCCAGGTAATTGTGACTGCAGTAACACATTTGCTAGTGTTTTTGTTCTGTTTGCACTGTGAAGTTCAAAGGTACAAATCCCAAATAATCTACTTGGAATCCATGGACCTGTCTTTTCTTATCAATGCAGAGCCATTTCTCCAAATTACCTGCTATGTTATTGGTTTATCTGATCCAAGGTTTTCTGCTACTAAGATATATTGCTTTGACCTTTTCTATAACCGTGAGTGTTTTTAATTTTTGTTTGAGTCCAGCTTTCCAGTCTGGAACATTTTTAAATTCAGTCTGATTTCTGAATGGAAGTGCTCTTTGGTATATTTTGATCATAATCTATAACATAACAAGGATTCTCTTGGGAAAGATGAGTAAAACTGGCAAATGAGCATTTCTCTTCACTTAAAGATTGTATGCTTTAACGCGGAGGGAGGCATGCTACTGTACGGTAGAGGGTTAATTTTGTACACTGTGTTCGATTATATTCCTCATAGATTATAGGAAAACCCATTTCTTGGATATTGTGTGTTTATTTTTTGTGGACAAATAACAATAATAGGGGGATCTTGTTCAGGCTGTCCACATTTTCTGCTTTCAGGTAGTGGAAATAATGCATTTATATCTCTCACAATAAGCTTGTTTCTTGTCCTTTGAGGAGCAGGAATGAGAGAATACATGAAGATCAAGCTGATGCTTTTCTTCAAGGAAATGGGATGATTGACAGACTTGCAAGTTGTCAATAACCAACAGCAATTAATTCTCTTTGAATGTAGAGGCTAGTGCATTTGCAGCTGCTCACAAGTGGGTAATAGAATTATAATGGCTTCTGACTGCATTAATATGGGGCAAAACAAAATCAAGAGATTGTTTAATATGTTTGATCTAACTCTTGTCATTTTTCCTTTCAAAGGCTTTGTAGGTTTAAATTAGAGAAGTATTTAATTGAAATTTTAAAAGTTAATGGTGTTCAAAGACTCTGGAAACATGATGGCAGATAATTCTGGACTTTTTTTGTTTTTCCTTGAAGACATTTCATCTCTGGGATAACCATGGATGACTGAGAATCTCCATAGAACTTCTTCTTCACGAGCGAGGGAATACAATTTGCTATGAATGAGGCGATGTTTTCTTTTGCCACTGCACCCTAATTTTAAATGAAATTATACCCTTTCTCTAGAGACTTTAAATCTCACTGATCCTTCTGTGACTTAACATTTGAGGGAGAAATTATCTCTATGGTAGTGTGGCACCTACCAGTAGCTTAGGCTGGTGTGTGGTTATAGCAGAGAATTGTAGGGGGGGGGGTTCCATTATGAGGTGCCAGCAAGAGATTATATGTATTTTTGGAAATTGTGTGGAAGTTTCAGTTAATATAAAAGATTGCAGCAAAAGGAATTTTGAAACTGAATGAAATGAAATATGTCAGTTGTTTATGACTTGATTCCTCCTTTGTTTCCAGTTCTAATTCAAGGTGTGCTATAAAGCCCTTCATATACCAGGACTAGGGTGTCTGAAGCAATGCCTCTTCCTGTATGTTCCTATTCACATTCTAAGATCATATTTAGGAAGATGTGTTCCCAGTGCTCTCCCATGATGACTCATGGCTGGTGATCAGCCAAGAACAAGCCTTGTCAGTGGTGGCCTCCCAATCTTGGTAATTGCACCCTAGTGAATTATGCACAGAGCCATCTACCTTGCCTTTGTTATGCCAAGCAAATAAATGTTTACTTTTCAAGTTTTTAAAATAAAATGTTAATGTTAACTTCTTCACCGCTGCTTTTTTTAATCTGTGCTACTTTTATCATTTGTTTTGTTTGTGTTTTTTTCCTATAATGTTTGCAGCGTATATATTTATTAACTGTTCTATTGTTTTAAATGCTTGAACTTTATTACAAACTGCTTTGAATTTTTTTTTTAATGGGAAGCAGCATGCGGATGTTTTAGCGCAATAAAATACATAAAATAATATTTGTAAGGCTGGCCAGTGAAATCATAGGGACCATGCATGTCTTGCGTTATCCAGATTCATGTGATTTTTAGTTCATCTTTGGCATAAATATTCCTATATTTTTGTTTTTGTCTGAGCATCTGCCATCGTTTTCATCATGGAGAAGAATCTATGAATCTGGTTCTTTTAAATTGATTCTATATGATGCTGATATTATGTGGCCCAAGCACCAAATGACAGGACTGAAAAATGTCCAGATCTCATTGATTCATCAAAATTGAAAGTCTATAGAGATTTTCAGTCATCCAGGTCATGGTTGTTCCAAAGATGCTTTTTCAGGAGGCAACTGGAGTTTCTTGTTTTTTCTTTTGAAGACGTTTCACTTCTCATCCAAGAAGCTTCTTCAGCTCTGACAGGATAGTGGGGAATGGAAGGATTTGTGTTCCTTGCAGACAGCTGGTAATTTGCATCCTTTTAGAGGGTCATTGAAGCATTTGGAGGTTTATCCGTGTCCTCAGAGTCACCTGAGTAGTGCTCAAGAAAATCCAGTTGCCTCCTGAAAAAGCATCTTTGGGACATCAAAATGGAAAGTTATTGAAAAAGAGATCTGAGCGGTATAGTTAAGGGTTTCACACGGGGTGAAACAAAATTAATATTGCATATGATAACAGCAGCAAGATTGTTGATAGGTAAATATTGGAAGAATGAAGCTTTGCCTACAATCGAGGAATGGACTTTGAAGATGGCCAGTTTTGCAGAGATGGCGAAGATTTCAGCATATTTAAAAGATTGTTCACAAGAGACTTATGAATGGGAATGGAAAAGGTGGATAGAATATGTTCAGAACAAATACCAAACTAGAAAGTACCAAATAGCTTTTATTTGAAAACAATGTATTAGAAATATCTTAATGTGAAGAGATAAAGAGGGAAAATTATATAGGGGGAGGGATGGGTTCAGGTATATATATCAGTGTTATTAGTTATGAGTACATAATAGGGAAGTCTGGGGGGGAGGGTTAGGGAGGGTTAGGGAGGACGGGATGTTTGGGGAGGGAGGTGGGGGGGTGAAAAAAGGGGTGAAAATGTAATTGTAAAACTTTTGCAATAAAAAAATTAAAAATTAAAATTAAAATACAAAAAAAAAGAAAAAAAAAGAAAAAGAGATCTGAGCCACTATGAAAAGAGATCTGAGCCATTACTAATCATAATGAGTACTTTTTAAAATCTACAATTAACAATGATTTATACAAATCATTTGGAAGATAGGCTTCTAGAATAGTCAATGTTAGATAACAACCCTTGTTGGTTTGTTTCTAATGTCCTTGTTAGGCCCCAAAAATGTACTGGGTCAGTTCAAAGGCCCAATGTGAGCAAGCATTCAAGTTCTTAGGAACCTTTGATCAACTACTATCGGGGGTGGGATTCAACCGGTTCGGACCGGTTCAGGTGAACTGCATGTTAATTTTAATCTGGTTCATCAAACTAGGATGAGGCTCTGGGAGGGTGAAAAACGGGCCTAATGGAAGTCTGGAAATGAGCCCATTTCCGGCCTCCGGAGGGCCTTCGGTGCTGTCCTGGAGGCTCCAGGAAAGCCTCCGGAGCTTGGGGAGGGTGAAAATGCCCCCCCCCGCCATGGTGCAGGAGGCTGAGTAGGCCACGCCCCCATGGCCACGTCCACCCAAGAACCAGGCAGTGGACTGGTTGCTGAAATCTTTGAATCCCATCCCTGACTACTATGGTAAATTGTGCAAACCAAAACATCTTTATTCATGAATTATACACTGTTCCTACTTACCTTCTTTTATATACTTTCAGACACTTTTTTTTAATTGTACACACTTTCAGTTTTAATACATTTTTTGTCTTATAGTTTTTTATAATTTAATACAATATCCTTCCCTCCTTGTGGTGTCTATGACCATAGTGAATATTTGATGTGATTTGATTAGCATTAATTATAGGCATGATGGAATGTGGGGAAAATGGGAATAAAAACCAGGGCTATTTGCTGAAATGTTATCATCTGTACTTGTTGGATACATCATGTCCATTCACCAAATTGTTTCCCTCAAGGAGCAGGTAGTCCTCACTTAATGCCTTGTCATTTTTCAACCGTTATGATGGCCATAGAATGGGTGCTTTAGGACCCATATGGAGCTTTATGACTGGCTGCAGTGTTTCATGGTCACGTGACCGTGATTTACAATGTTTTTTTCAAGTTTCTGGCAAAAAGCACTTATTCAAACGATTGAGTTTTCTTAAGAACCATGGCATTTGTTTAACGACTGCTCAAAAAAAGACATAAGGTTCTTCTAGTCATATTATTATATTTATTGTTTTTGCCTGTTCATGTTTCTCCCTCTCCCCCATTGCTTCTACTTGCCTTTTACAGGTAATCCTCGACTTACAACAGTTCACTTAGTGACTGTTCAAAATTACAATGTCACTGAAAAAAGTGACTTACGACGATTTTTCACATTTATGACCATTGCAACATCCCCAGGCAACATTCAGATGCTTGACAACTGGTTCATTTTTATGACAGTTGCAGTGTCCCGGGGTCATGTGATCCTCTTTTGTGACCTTCTGACAAGCAAAGTCCATGAGGAAACCAGATTCACTTAACAACCAAGTTACTAAGTTAACAACTGGAGTGATTCACTTAACAAATGTGGCAAGAAAAGTTGTAAAATGGGGCAAAGCGCATTTAACAAATTTCTCACTTAACGACATAAATTTTGGGCTCAATTGTGGTCCTAAGTCGAGGACTATCTGTATTCTCTTTTGCCTGTTAACTGTCGTTGATGATTTCTCATATTTAGTAAATAAACATATAGCTATATAACTGAATTGACTGATACGTGTGCTTGCTGTGATCAGAATTTAAGATTGACAGGCAGTGTGTTGGATGCACATTACATCCTGTAATTTTCCAATAATGCTCATTATTTTCTCAGGGACTGCTGAACACACAAGGCAAGGAAGGGTAGATGACAAAACATGGGTGACAATAGCATGTTGTCATAGTGTATGACTTGCATCAAAATCAGTGATGGAATAAACATAGCGTCCCATGCCTTATTTTTTAAAATTAAAAACTCAGCTGTTAATTTAATATTCCTGGATATTTGGCGCCCGATTCAGCATAATTTGAATGTATGCAGTTTCCTCTCATATTCTAAAGTAGAGCTAAGGCTGTTTAGTAATGGGTGAGCATGGCTGCTTTATAAGTGTATTATGTAGCCTCTATTTGCCCTTCCCATTCCAAATGTTAAAACAAGAGCTCTGGTTCTTCAGAACTGATCTCTCCAGTTACAAGCTCCCAGTCTCATTTTTATGTTGGCGTAATATCCTTAATTCATAGAAGACAGGGGTTGCAAGTCTCTAACTTAGCGGCCACCAGTCTTTATTGCCACTGTAATAATCTTGATAGAAGTGGCTTTTTCCAGACCAATTTTTCTTTGGTCTGCAGCTCGTTTGCAATAAACATGAGCCAGAGTAATGAGACAAAAAACTCTGACTTCTCCTATGACAATTCAACTGGTTCACAAAGGGGCAGTAAAATATAATCCAAGGATTTACGGCGCTAATAGCAATGAGCAGTGGAGTTCATTATTATGCTAAACTTTCAACTAAAGCATGGGGACAAAGATTGCCATAGGCACTGTCCTGTATGTTGGCGATAATTGAGTCTATTAGCCTTAATTTCATAATTCCTAAATTAATTCTGCTCACTTATAAATAGCTTTAATTGCTTGATGGGGGAGTTATTAAAAGGCAATGTACTATGTATTAGTGCGATGAATTCATTTGAATATAGCGCATTCAACGTAATCAGCTTCATTTGTTGTCATATATTTATCTATCAACAATGATGATATCTAAGTTGGGTCTAGAAAACAGTCAATGGCCACTGAAGTAATTCTAAACATTGCATTTCACAGGTGACCCCTTTAGGTGCTCAGGAGTTGTCATACATTTGTTGTATAAATTTGGTTGTATAAACAGAGGCATAGAATCAAAATCATGTGAGATATTAGTATCGCTTTATAAATTCTTAGTAAGACCACACCTGGAATACTGCATCTAGTTTTGGTCACCACATTACAAAAAAGATGTTGAGACTTTGGAAAAAGTGCAAAGAGCAACTAAGATTATTAAAGGGTTGGAGACACAAACATATGAAGAAGAGTTTCAAGAACTGGGTATGGCCAGTCTAGAGGGAAAAAAAGGACTAGCGGGTAACATTATACCAGTATTCCAGTATTTGAGGAGCTGACACAAAAAAGAGAAAGGTCAATTTATTTTCCAAATCAGCAAAAGGCAAGACAAGAAACAATGGATGGAAACTAATCAAAGAGATTAAGCAGAATTAAGGAGAATTAAGGAGAAACTTCCTAACAGTGAGAACAATTAACCAGGGGCACAGTTTGCCTTCAGAAGTTGTGGGTGTTTCATCACTGGAGATTTTAAAAAAAAGACTGACAGCCACCTGTCTGAGATGGTATAGGGTCCCCTGCGTGAGCAGGAGATTGGAGTAGAAGACCTCTAAGGTCCAATCAGCTCTATTTCGATCGATTGATTAAATGTCCCTATGCTGTGCTACATTTAGAAGTCTTCATGCTCTCGCATAGAATGGGGGTGGGAAATTCTACTTCAAAATTCTGCTTTGAATCTGAATTTTGTAAATGTGGTTGTCCCTGTTGCACATGCTAAGTGACAGCTTCTTGGACACTTTTGTACATTAGGTGGAAATGCTTAAAGGTGAATGGAACCTTTGTTTGTACCCTCAATTGCATGGACATCATATTGTGATGGCACAGTGGTTAGAATGCAGTACTGCAGGCTACTTCTGCTGACTGCTGACTGCCAGCAGTTTGGCAGTTTGAGACTCACCAGCTCAAGGTTGACTCAGCCTTCCATTTTATTTATTTATTATTATTTGTCAAATACATATAAGATAACAGATATAAGTATAAACATGATTATGAATACAGGATAAGGATACGAATAAATGGGAACAGTAGGACAGGGATGGTATGCATGTTGGTGCGCTTATGCACGCCCCTTACAGACCTCTTAGGAATGGGGTGAGATCAACAGTAGACAGTCTAAGGTTAAAGTTATGGGGGATTGATGTTGGTAAAACAAGGACCCAGATTGTTGGGGGCAATATGCTGACTCTGTAAACTGCTTAGAGAGGACTGTAAAGTACTATGAAGTGGTATATAAATCTAAGTACTATTGTTATCATGCTGTGTATAGTGTTTTCTGCTGCAGTCATTTGAAATATCTTCAAGAAATCAGTATCAATGGAAGCTGGGGCTTATTCAGGATGTTCACATGGTTTAAAATTTACTGAATGAGATTTATGATGCATGGGAATATCTTTTGCAGCTAGGGTTTTAACTCAGGGATATTAGTTATTACTCATCTCTTCTGACAGCAACGGTTATCTGGGTTTCTACTATCATGCCAAATGGAGAGATGTTCTTCACAGCTGTCCATCAACCCTGAAAATCAAATCAAACAAAAGATAAATTGAGTTCACACACTACACAGATAGCACATTTGAGTTTGGTTGGTTTTAACTTCACATGTTTAGCAATGCCAGTTAATTGTGCTTTATTCAGTAAATCATGGGTGAATAAACCATGTCTTTGTCTGATAAATGAAGCTATCTCGAACAAGTGTGTCCAACCCATGGCCCACAGGCTGCATGCGACCCTGGTTAGCTAGAAATGTGGCCTTACAAGATTGAAAATTTTTAACGTTATATGATTTATATACAGTACATTAACTGTATTATGTATTTTATATATGGCCCACAACAATTCCTCTTCACTCAGTGCGGCCCAGATAAGACAAAAGGTTGAATACCCATGATTTAGAAGTTTCTGTTCTCTCCAACTGACTTTATACATGCACCCTGCTGCTTATATCAAGAAGAAGCTGTCATGCCAAAGGCTGCCTTTGACAAAATTACTCAAATCTGCATCATAGATGTAGTTTATTTAAATTAGAATGAAAAAAAGGTGTTGCAAATCCATAAATAAAACATGAAAAGTTTAAAGTTGCCGAAGACAGGCTATTAGAGCTACTAAAAATTAGAATTTTGTTTTTTAAAAAATTTGATTTATATGCCGCCCTTCTCCGGAGACTCAGGGCGGCTTACAATGCGTTAAGCAATAGCCTTCATACTTTTTGTATATTTTTACAAAGTCAGCTTATTGCCCCCACAAACTGGGTCCTCAATTTACCTACCTTAGAAAGGATGGAAGGCTGAGTCAACCTTGAGCCTGGCAAGATTTGAACTTACTAATTGCAGACAGCTGGAGTTAAATTACAATGCATTAGTCTGCTGAGCTATACCAACAATTTGTAACTTGTAAGGCAGAAAACTTACGGAATGGCATAGGTGAACAATAGTTCACATTTAAGCATGATTTTTACCCTTTACTGAAATCATAGTTGCTGAGCAACCTCGACAGTGTTCAGTTTTGCAAGTAATCTTAATAATACTCTTTTAAAAAGGTATTTTATTATATCATGGTAAATAAGATGAGAGAAAAAGTTAAATTCATACAATTGCATTAGACATATGCCCAAGTCAGGAAAAAATGATAGTTTCAATTCAATATAAACACCTGCATTCTGGGAGTTCTACTGAACCTTTTCAGATCAGTCCCTGCTTAGCAGATATGTGATTCAGAAAACTTTGGTTACTCCAGGTTTTTGGTGAAACATTGCCTCCCCCCCTTTCTTTCCCCAGCTCTCCTATTTTCCTAGTATCTTGTTTAGTTTTAGTTTTATTAAATTTATATACTGCCCTTCTTCCCTTTCTCCTCTCAGTTACTACTGATATCCCACTGCAACATACCCACTGGCCTGATTATCTCCTGATCTTCCAGAACTGATGGTGGACTACAACCTGGATCTCCCCACATCTAGTCCAGGGTGTGCCAGTACACCACACTACACAATGTAACCCCACCCTGTCCCACTTAAGGAAATAATTGGCTTCGGAGCCTCTGTTGAGTTCTCAAAAACCATTAAGAGACGTGCTGCTTCTGAACAGCAGTTTGGGCCAAATCGTCCATGTAACAATGCTTAGCTTGAATACACTGCAAAGCATTACTGCAAGGGAAATCAAACATCGTTCTACATTTCATAAAATTTTGAACATTCATCAGAATGAAGTTGGTCCAAAGAAGTAAGATTACAAGAGGCTGCATTTACACAAGGGGGGAAAAAAGAACTACAAGATTATTAGACTGTGGTTATTCTATGAGGCAAGTTTTTCATGGACAATAAAGTCAAAATTACATCCATGGTCATTTGTATTCTTCTCATCCCCGTGGTAGTATGTTTCTACTTCAAGCTTGAGACTTGGGAGTTTGAAGGTTCTGCACAGGATCTTAGCTTGTTCCTAGCACTGCATTCTTCTGGACAGAGGAGCTCTAGTGTGATTCCTGGACTCTGTTGGAGCCATTTTCCCAGCTTAGAAGTCACAGCCTTAACTGCTCCTATTACTACTGGGACCACTTTGGTTTTTACTTTTCACATACACAAACATGCTTACACACACACACACACAAACAGAGAGACAGAGAATGCATGTATGTGTGCAGCTGATCCCCAAACCAACAACGATCTCAGGAATTTCAGTGGCATCAAATAATAACTTTCACATTCTACCCAGAGACGAGCTGAATTTTGAAATATCTTGCTCTGATTAGTAACTACAGTTGAAGCAAATGCCCCATTAAAAACCTGGAAAAATATGGAAAGTAAATCTACCTTTCCCAGCAGGCAATTCTAATTTATGCAGCAAAAGTCTCAGAGGATGCCCCTGCCAAGGAAAATTATTTAAATGGCATCTAAATTCACTTACAGTAATGTGAACTAATGTAAATAGGAAGACTCTTAACATATAAATCAATGATGAACTTAGCAAGATGATAAAAGGTGCAATCTTGCTGTCATTGGCATCAATTTCACTTAATTCAAAGGAGCAGGATTAGAGCAGAAACACTGAGACAGATTCTGAGAATTTTTTTAGATGTAAAAAAACCAATACAGAAATTTACACATTTTGATGTTGTACTTTGTTTCCTCGGGCCTAAAATAATGGAATTTTTTTTAATGTTTAATTGTCTAGATAGGATATAAAAATAAACAATTTGCAATAGTATCTCTAATAGTCTGACTCATAAGGCACATACATGAAAAACACAATCAATAAATAATGAATATGACTCAACTCTACTTGAGAAGAGGTCTCTTGTTGCGCAATATGACTGAATGCTGAGAAAACATTGATAGAGCACTTCATATAACTGCTGCATAAAAGTGGGGCCTTTTTCCCCAATTAGTACCATGGAGTGGTTTTCAAATTATAATACTCCAACCTCCTAACAAATTTGTGATTAATGAATTTGTGATCCCCTTCCCCATGAATAAAACTAACAATTTCGCTGATGCCAGAATTGGGCAAGAAATAAATATACCACTTTTTATCATGAAATACAACAGAAACTTTTGGACTTTGCAGGACAGCAGTTACCCATTGCAGGTAAAAATGAGGAAAAGCCAAAAGTGGTTTTTGATAGCAGACAACTTTTCCTGCGTACACTTGATTTTATAAAAATAATAAAATGTAACAAACAGCCCAAATTACTTGTGACTCCTAAGGGGGGCAGACCTATCATCAAAGAACTGTCATAATCCTCTTTTTCAATAGAATATTTCTTCCTTCCTCTCTTCCTCCCTCCCTCCCTCCCTTCCCTCCCTCCGCCCTCTCTCACACACACAATGAATGGACTAAATTCATGAATGTTGGCATTCTTCCTTGAAACCTCTTGAAAATTCAGTGCACTTTCTTAAAATATCCCAGAATTTCAGATGGGAATCATGAGATTTGCTAGTCTCCTCCGATTTAAGTCATTTTTAGTTAATTTAAAATTTAGATTTTTAATCATACTGAGTTTGAGACTTCCACAAATATCATTGTGTGGTAAAAACTACATTGTCCACTTATGGCCAACATGATGGTCTTTCAACATTTCATAACATCATTTGTATGTAAGAAGAGACTAAAATACTCCAATTTATATCACTGATTACCACTGAATATCATAGAAGAGTGAAATTTAAAAATCTGCATGCTCACATTCTATTTGGCTACTTTAATTACTACACAGCAGTGGCTAAAAAACAATAAAGCTAAGACTGTTTGTAGAACTGCTAAAATCTTTTTACACTCATCAAGAAAGTAATCCAGTAAAGACCAGAGGTGAGAAGAATCATGAAATCACGTACACAAGTAGATGAGTCCAAGGTCTGTGATGAGCTATCTCTTTGTGCTGGGCATCAGAGGGCTTAGTACAATGGGCAGCTATTTCATGGGTATAGCCTAGCATGGAAAGGTGTCTTTTCTTAACTCAGATAATACCATGTAGTGTACAATCACTTTGTTTCTCTGTTGTGCTTAGGCTGGCAGTATTTGAAAGAGCAGATGGCCATGATGAAATTGCATTATACTCTTCATGAGTATCTCTGACTCAGGTCCTGCGTGTCTTCTTTAAGAATGTAAAAGTTAAAAGGTTAGAATGAAAGCAAGCTGACAAGGTGCTTGGAGGCTTGTTCAAAATCTTTGCAGTGCAAAAGGCTAACGTTTTCTAGTTTTATCCCTGCAATGAACCAAATTAGCAGTAAAAAGGGAGAAATGGGTCTCCTTGTCACTGCATTGTCCTTCTCATCATAAAGGGTAGTACAAGTACAATAATATCTTGTGCAAAGAAACTTTTTCTGGTAGAAATTTTGTCCCTCGGCTAAATTCCTTTTAAAAAAAAAAATCTGGTTTTACTCTGCTTTTGAGAACCTTTGCTATAAAGGGTTTGGTGGCTTTGCTATGTCACTAAGGAACAATACTATGAAGAGAGTCACAGATTTCTCTACGGTTTCTTTAAGAGCAAACAAGCAATGGCAATTTAATCGGCTGCCCTAATTTAGCAAATTCAAATTCATTTGCTGTAAAATAATTACCTTCTTTCCATTTATGCCTGGCTTTTTTAAACTAGGGCCATTTAAGGATTAATTAGATCAATTCAATTCATTTAGTCCATTTAATTAATGCATGTTGGTTTAATGTAAATACAGTTTCTCTTGAGTAAAACTTAGTTCCCAATGATCCATATACTTAACAGTAATGCAGAAGTGGGCTGGCCTGTGCCTTTTTTCAAAATGTTTTGTTAACTTTCCACAGTCCTGAGAATTCCTGTTTGTCTCTTATCCAAGTGCTGGTCAGGTCCAGGTCTATTTACTTTGTCAGGCTTATCCAAAGTTGCCACCTAGTTAACTAGTTAACACTAGTTAGGCATTGAGCGGTGGCTCAGTAGCTAAGATGCCGAGCTTGTTGATCAAAAGGTTGGCAGTTCAGCTGTTCGAATTCCTAGTGCCACATAATGGGGTGAGCTCCCATTACTTGTCCCAGCTTCTGCCAACTGCCAACTGCGAACTAGCAGTTCGAAAGCACATTAAAAATGCAAGTAGAAAAATAGGGACCACCTTTGGTGGGAAGGTAACAGCGTTCCGTGTGCCTTCGGCATTTAGTATTGTGGGCCACATGACCATGGAGACGTATTCGGACAGTGCTGGCTCTTCGACTTTGAAAGAGAGATGAGCACCGCCCCCTAAAGTCAGGAACGACTAGCACATATGTGCGAGGGGAACTTTTACCTTTACCTTAATGTACAAAGCTTTACATTTTCCCTTGATCTGCTTCTCATATTCTGAAAGGAAAGGCTTAGACACAATATTAACATTTCTTTATAGTGCTTAAGAATCTGCGAGTCCTAAATCCCATTCAGGTAGTATTTTTATGTGTTTAATTGTTCTTGCAGTTGAACACTGGGGAATGGCAATTTCTTGTTTTTTTCTGTTTTCACTGTGCAATTCAAAGAGGGGAGGCAGGATGTGGTGGAATCACCAGCTAAAGGAGAGTGGGGAGTAGAGGCTCGTCAGCTGGGTATTGCTCCAGGGAGGAAATGTCATAGTGAAGCCTTATCTACTTAGTTCTCAAAGGAATGTAGCCAGTCTGGCAAGTTTCTTGTAATGTAGTTAATCAACAATAAAGAAACTGATTTGGCCTATTCAGGAAGCTGTTCTGGTTCCTTTGCCTGACACAGGGCTACTATCTACAAACCAAACATGCTTTTAAATGTCTACATGGGAATGTTTCATTTGAACACAGTGAGGTCTTTCCGAGACTCCCAGAGTTTATTTCCTGCTTAAGGAGCTGCAATTTCTAGTGGTGCCTTACCGCCCTTTCACCATAGTTCAAACAAACCGGTTCAGAGTCAAGAAATTGCTTTGAACAAATGTGATAGCCAAGACATGCCCACTTCTAAGTGACAAGACGTTAATAATGGCTGCTTGCCATTTCCCATAGTGGAGACACTTGGAGCAACTGAAAAAGCAATTTCTTTGCCTATAAATTGTTTTTCCTTTTTTTCTTGGAGTAGCTGGATATAAGATTTCCCTCTTCTGTTGTGTGATTGATACTTTCAATGAAAAAAAGTAGTTGACTGCTATAGAAATCCTTTGTTTTATATAATGGAGGATGTCAGCATGTAAAGGCAACTTGTGAAACTAATTGAATAAGATTGGCATCTCCTAAAGGAGGTAGGGTGAATGTGGGAAAACACGTACTTTTTGGCCTAAAAGAAAAAAATGGAAAGAAAATGCAACCTTCTCATTCTTCATCTTTTATTGTTCATGAAAAATTGGTAGATAATCCATACGTACTTTGCTATCTGAAATGTAGAATGTTAGAGAGATGGTTTAAGGTCTGAGGAAATTGTTTAGTTAATTTATACATCCCATCGACTTGCTGCACCCCAGAATTCTTTGCAACATTTGTTTGGTAGGTTCTCTGACCCAAATTTTGTGGTTCCTTTGCATCTATTATTCAGTTTTCAACTGAATGCGTTATAATTTCTTGTGATATTAGAGCTTATTACATCAATATGGTTTAACTGTGAATAGAAAACAATTGATTTGAATTCATTTATTGCAGGTAGTCCTCGACTTATGATCACAATTGAACCAAAAATTTTCCATTGCTAAGCAAGACACTTGTGAAATACGTTTTGCTCCATTTTACAACCTTGCTTGCCACAGTTGTTAAGTGAATCACTGCAGTTGTTAACTTAGTATCATGGTTGTTAAGTGAATCTGGCTTCCCCATTGACTTTGCTTCTCAAAAGTTGCAAAAGGTGACCCTGGAACACCGCAACCGTCATAAAGACATGCAAGCTGTCAAGCATCCA